GAAGCTGGCAGGGCCCGTCGCTGCGTAGCACGAAGGCGGTTTCCCGGGTGGCGGCCACGAGAGGCGTGTTTTTCTGGGGGCCGCGTAAGTGGCGAAGGGGCTCGTGGATGAGGACGTGCCCGTAGATTTTGGGCTCGCCTGTGGGAGAGAGGGAGGGGGGCAGAATAAATGCCCGGCTTCGTGGAGGGGAGACCAACAACTGGGGGGCTTCGGATCCGTTTAATCCACGGATTAATCCCCTTCTGGGGTGGCCCATTCAACTGCAGAGGACGTGGGAATGGAGAAAGGGTGCCCCGCTCCATTTGGGGGGGCTAATGCCATGCTAATGTGCTGAAGAACACCGGAAAAGAGGCACCCTCTTATTTTTATATTGCTTAATAAAATGCAAACTGTTTCCAGTGTCCTCCCGCAGCCGAAAAAGGCAGCTCTTCTGTGGGCTTGATAACATGATGGATGGATGGAAAAGGCCAACCGCCAGAGCACCCACAGAACAGCCTCTCCGGTTAGCTCCTGGTTGGCCCTAACGGGACCAGGACAAGGGGACCCTGTACTAACCCTAATAAATAAGAACGATAATGATGGAACGATCTGCCGGACAGAGCCAGCCGTGGCGGTCTCAGCCAGCCGGGCCCACGGACCCTGCGGAAGGGGCCTCTCCCGCCCAGAGGGCTGCGATCTCCTTGAGGGACCTCTGGGGACCTGAATAGGTTCCCACAGCTCCCCACAACAGTGGGGCGTCTGGGATCGGGAAGCTGCGTGCCCAGGAACGAGCCTGCTGGGCAATGCCCAGAACGAGGGCAGAGCCGGTGCTCAGACCCTGAGCCGAGGGGAAGGGCGGAGGCGTGGGAGAGCGAGGGAGAGGCATCCGTGGAGCGTGGAAGCCAGGATCAGGCTAACATAGGCTTAAATAATAGCCCCTCCGCTTCACAGCCGGCATGAACAGTCCTGCTGTTTCCCTCCATTTTTAAAGGGTAGCTTTTGCATTCCGCACTGTCTCTTAACATATATGATTAAGTGTATACTAAACTTTTTGATAACGTTGCATTTTAATAATTACTTTTTGTCTTTTATCGTGGACGTTTTTATCTGTTTCTTATTTTATTCAGTTGTTGTACGCCGCCCAGAGTTGCTTTGCATGAGCTGGGCAGCTATATCGATGTGATATATATGTATATAAATAAATAAGTAAGTAAATAAATAAATAAATATACAGGTTTTCTGCGTATCTCCCCCATAATTAATTGAAGTTGCTCAAGAGCCATTGTTATCGCGCACGTCCTCTTGGCTTCCTTCTCAGATACGCAGAGACAGCAGCTGCCGGCCCCCAAACTGCAAATTCCCCCACGGAAGCTCTTGTAAAAGGCCACTGTGCTCGTTTGCAAGCAACCTTCAGACATGTCTTCCCCACGCATCGTTTTGGAGGGTTTTGGGGTGGAGAAAGACTAATGCTCTTGAGTGGTGACATTTGCCCGGGCCTGAGATGAGCATGGGGCATTATGCAAAGGCGGCTATTGTGCCAGTCTGCCTAGCTCGGCATGCTGTGTGAACCCAGCCCTGGCTGGACCCCTTGGGAGCGAGGGCAAGGCAGAGGCTTCCCCAAGGGCTGGTAGGGTTCACTCACACTGGGGGACGCTTCCTCCTTGCCAGCTCTCCTGCGGGGCAACCTGGCTCCTGCCCGGGGCCATCTGGTGGGGGCCCCGGGGCCGTACCCCGGGCCTCTCCAAGCCCCACTTCTGGGACTTCAGCCGGCTGATCTTCTCGCTGTACATCTTGGCCAATGCTTGCACCTTGCTGAGGATCCGCTCGGAGTTCTCCAGCAGGCAGGGCTCTCCGTTGTTCTGATAAAGGTCCCAGGAGGGGAGGAAGGGCGCAGAGGTGGGGGCGCCCTCCTTCGCCCACCTTTCCCTCCCATCTGGATCCCTGCCAGGACCTCGGAGAGGATCCTCCAGGTCCGAGTCCTCCACGATGCAGAGGGGCTCTGCGTAGGTGGGCCTTTCGGGGGAGGAGAAGGCTCTCCGGCTGATCCCCTGGCCCCCCTTCTTTGGGGCGTCCCTGGCGCTCCGCTCCTTCTCTTGCCAAGCCCTCCGGATCTCTGCACACGATCGGAACCCAGGATCGGCGGGATCCTCCTCCAACCCGTTCCTCCGCTCCTGCTGCTTCCTTTCTCTCCCCGAAGCCTTTGGGGGAGCATCAGAGGGGATGTCCCCAGGCTGGGGTTGCCCCTTCTCTGCCTCCTGCCCCTGAGCCTCGGGGCTCCCGGGCTGCACGGGGAATCGGCTCCCATCTGAATGGTTCTGCTCAATCCTTGTGGCCGGCCAACTCCGTGCAGAGTTTTTGGGGACAGAAAGCTGTTGGCTGTTGCAAGATTGGCCCCAGCTCCGGCACGACTGGCCAGGTAGGGGGCGGAGCCTTCTGAGCTTGGCCCCACCCTCTTCCTCTCCCAGAGCCTCCTTCTGCTTCGAAATGCTGTTGAACCGCAGGACGGATTCTCGTACCACCCCAGCAGGAACGGGGGGGGCTCCCTCCTCCTTGGCGACCTCTGGCCCTTTCTTGCCCCCTTCCACGCTTTCATAGTAGCTCTGGATCTTCTCCAGCAGAAGCCAGTCGTCCCCGGTCAGGGTGGGGTCCGCCTCGGCTCTTTTCTCCACCCTGCCAAAGCCCCCTGGTGAGGTTGGGGGGCACGGGTGTGGCTGGCTAGATGGGCCGGGGGACTGGCTTCCCTCCTGGGCTGCCTCCTGCCCTATGGAGACAGAGCCGCCGGGCTCCTCGAAGGTGAGATCTTCCAGGACGTGCAGAGGAGACGGACCAGCCGACTCCTGCGGCCGCTGCGGCTCCTCTTCTTCGGAAGAGTCGCTGCCAAAGGGGCGATGGAGCGTGGGGAGCAGCTGTTCTTGGAGGGGGCTCCCTTGGGGAGGAAGAGGGGGGGCATCCTCCTGGAAGACCACGTTCTCCTCCTCTTCCTCTTCCGCCTCTTCCGCTTTGTCCTCCAGTTCTTCTAAGGCACTGTTGGGCGAGAGCTGATCCTGAAGGGAGGGAGAGGGCAGACAGAGACTTAACACCATGGACCTCCCCTCCCTCTCCGGGGTGACTTCATCCAAGCTTTTCCTTCGGTCCAGCCATCCCTGATCTGTCCTCCCAGGGGCTTAGGCTCCATCTCCCCACATGTCCCCAGGGCGTGCAGGCAGAGAGACACCCTGCGGAGATCCCGTCCAGCCCCTCTGGAGGACATCAGATTGGCCCATCCAGCTGTCCTTCAGTAAGCCCTTTCAGCAGCAGTCCAACCAGGAATCTCGGAGGGTAGCAGTTGCCCGTGATCAGTCCTTGCCCTCCTTAAGAGAAGGCAACCGGGGAGTGTTTCTGAGCACTCACAGAATGCTTTCCCCCTCCCCTGAGCTCCTGAAGCTGTGCTGCCTCAATGTTTGAAGCTGGAAGCCACACCCTAGGCAGTGTTCGTCAACCTTTGCAACTTTAAGATATGTGGACTTCAACTCCCAGAATTCCCCAGTCAGCATGGTGGCCAGGGAATTCTGGGA